CTGTCTGAGTATTTCTACTTCACTAAGTTAAAAGAGTCATCAATTAAATAACAAGTCTCTTGACTAAAACTGCCAGTCAACAACTTCAGTAGGGCAACCGTAATTTTCAAAGTTTTTTTTGATAAAGACCACTTGGGGCAAAAGACCTCCAGGCCCAGATACCTATTTTTTCTACAAAACAAAGGAAAACCAGAAGTCAGCCATAATAGTGAAGCTACTAATAAAACAAAAGACTAAGGGAGGGTCTATATTAACACCTGCTTTAGAATTAAAGGAATGAATTACTTATATCTAACTGTAATATATATGTGATTTTAGAACTATAGGGAAATGAAAGGCTGGAAGTAGATTCACACAAATGTATGTGTATGTATGTATCCCCCTACTTCTGGATAACTACACCATCTGCAGCAAAGTAAACTTAGAATGTATGCAACCAAAATTTATATCCAGTAAACAAGAATAGCAAGAAGACTGAAAACCACAACCAATTCAATACATCTTTTGATTGTTTACTAACAAGGTGTCCTTCCTAAAAATTTCCACCTATTTTAACTATACATACATACAAGGAGAAGGGGAGTTTTGTAATGTTAACCAGACCTCTTAGCAGAATACTGAATTAGAGTGCATAGTAAATTGTCATTTGACCAGCTAATTTTGTATTTTATTAACCCTTAATACTACATCTGGGTTAGAGAGAAATAGCCCTAGTTGTAGGTAAAAATATATCTCTTGTCAAGTTAACCAGTCATTCACCCAAAAATGTAAACACAGAAAAAAACTTGCCTTTTTTCTACTGCCTGTCAGGAGGCTAAGAGACCTTTCTTTTGTAATCACATCACTAAGGAAATAACTTTGTTTTGAACAGAAGAAGAAGGACATGAAAGAGTAGGTTAATTTTATGGACTACACACTTTGCAAGGAAGGTAGGTACTTATATGGAATTATCTTGGAAAGCACAAGGCTATAGGCTACCTGTGTAAAGAAGGTAATTAAGAAGGGAAGAAAAAGGACAAAGGAACTGAAGGCCAGAGGCCCAGAAACAAAGGATACTGCCAGAACCTTCCATGTTTACATGGCTCCTTTCTACCAGATCTCAGGCCAGTATCTGCTACACTTTGGATGCAGGTTTTAGAGACTAGCCTGAGAACTATTTAATACGTAAATGTGTTGTGAGGTCTTTGTAGTTAACAGTGAAAATGATGTTTTCAAAAGGTGGTGGTAAAATGGAGATTGTCTGAATGTACATTTAAGTCCATTTCACCTTGCATTACATGATACTTCTGTTTACCAAAGCAGATAACATGAATAAAAATAAATGAAGAAATCTAGAGTCTACATTTACTCACGGAGCAGCAGTAAGATGATTATGTACACTCCGGCTTTCCTTAAAAAGCATTCTGAAAAAATTAAAAGGACACAATCTTTTTTTTATAGCAGATAAAAAAATCATCACTTTAATATGACAAGTTTATTAATTTTAATATTCTTAACTCTTTTGAACTTTAAATTAGGCTACTCTTAGTTTCTGAGATACCACTCTACATAGACTATTTTCAACAGATCCTAGGGCTGTGGCTCTTTGCCTGCACTCTGAATTTCCTGTACTCAGTTCCTTATCTTCCTTCCGTATGCAGTGCCCCTCCTGAAGTTATAACCATCTTCCCTCCTCCAGTTTTCTCTACTAGCAACTTCAGATGCAAGAAAGAAAAAGTGGTCAGTAAAACAAAACCACCTTTATGTGAATCTCTATATCTGTATGTCCACGGACTGTTTTGTCTTTAAAGTGCTTGAAATTTATAAAAGAGAGCATCTGAGATGATTGTATAGAATGTGAAACAACACATTCAGTTTTTAGCAAAATAAATGTCATATATGTGTGTGTGTGAGTGTATATATATATGCATCTTCAATAACAGCAATAATAAGAAAGTAAAATAAAATCTAGGATATCATATTTCTTACCTTGCCTGCATCCAGCCCTTAGGCCACAATGGTTTCACCTCTGTCTCCATAAAGGATTTAAGATAATCCTCAGCAGACTGGCTTTTATTTGGCTCTAACTCATAGCATCCCAATTTGATCTCAACAAGGTTACATAACAAAGTTCTAAATAGATTTAAAAAATATATTTATATGTAAATCTGACTGCAAAACTGCAGAAAATTAGCTTCAAACAGATTTTTAAAAAGCACATTAAATCTGACAGCAATAATAAAGAATATTACCTGAAGAATTCAGAAGATGACACAAAGATAATTTCTAACATACATCATTCATTGCACTACAGCCAAATCCCCAATATGAAACAATTTCCTTTGATACCCTTAATCCAGGCACAAAGACTGAAAGGGGTAGTACTATAACCAAACCCTCTACTTCGTGTACAGAAATACTGGTAAAAAAGTTACCTGATTACACAAGTACGCTAGTATTTCACCTTCTGAACCAGTCTGACTTACTCAATAATTAGAAGATCAGCTTATAAATAGTACTCTATGAAAATAAAAGTGATAACACTCTAAGGATATTAGGACCAAATCCATCTCCACTTGAATAAATTTTTCCTACATACTAATCTTTAGTTGTTTCCAATCTAGCCTTCCATTTACCACAGATTGTTTTTATGTGAAACCTTACTTCTACCTCACTATTTCGTTAGAAGTGAAGGCTTTGGTTAAATCATACCTAATGGTGTCATCCCAGTGGAATTTCTTTCTTGGTCCTATGACACGTTTCCCTGGTTTTTCATCATCATCTTCCTCAGACCCATTTTTCTCTCGATCTTCATCTGTTTGCAACCTAAAAATGAAAAACATTTTATGAAGCAAAGTTTTAACCCAACACTGCCTGTAACATGCTCCACAGAAACTTGTTGAATTGCTTAACTGAATGTTAACTCAAAAGACAGCATACATAGGGAATCTACCTTTCCACATAGTACTTTGAATTTGAAGCACATAATAAAATGGTTTGCTAAATACGGTTTTTAAAGTGTAATATAAAGGCATGAACAGGCATTTTTTAGTTCAGAAAGTATTTGTGTCCAACTTCAGCCAGTCAGGTTGGTCAACATGTGAAATGTCTAACCAGTGCCAGCTCTTGGTGTGATCACACCCACACACTAAATCAACAGACCTTTTGCTTTTGACACGAAAGCAACTGAGTGAGATGTGACATGTCATTTAGAAAATATTCAGTTATACCATCTCAGTGGTATATGTGGATTTCAACTTGGTGAAGTCCATTTATGATCACTCTCTAACAACCAAAAGTATTTCTCATATGCAAAAGCCAGTCCAAACAGAAGAGGTACATACTTGGCACACTTTGCTTGACTACGAGCTTGGCAGTCCTCCTGGTATTTAAATAGCTGTTCAGGCATGACATTGCTAACAGCCAGTTTCAGTTTTTGCAGAGGTTCTCTTAAACGATCATCCTGGGAAAAAAATATACTGAAAGGTTTTTCAAACGTATTTAAAAAACTTATTTGGCAGGCAGATCCTCAAAAGATGAAATTTATGTTTTAGATATTCATTATGAATTTGCAATGTTAACATATTTAAATACAGACATTTTTTCATCAACACTGTCTTTTCACAATGCACACTGGACATAAAATTAGGAAGACCACACATCCCTAGTAGCCAAGAAGAGTTCTAGTTTTGGCCTGTTGCCCCAGCATAATTATTAACGATGCTCCCTTGTAGTCCTAAAAATGCCCCATGTTTGGCCAATAAATTATATGGATCCTTCAATGTATATAAATGATTAAATAAAGAACAAAATCTGCATCATACAGACTCCTCTTAGTTAATCCCCATGACGACGGGGACCCAGTGCCACAAGAGGAGACACTGATTTAGGATACTGGAACACACAATTTGGTTTGGGTGACTACCAACAGGATGTTGGCATCCTGTTCTCTCATTTATTGTTAGTAATTGTGACTTAACACAATCAAAAATGCAAGATCAAGGCCAAAGTGAGAGAGGAAACTGGGAGAATCTTATTCATGTGGGTTTAGGGCAAAAAGAAAAGCAAGTAGGTTTGTACCTGACAGCTTTAATCAATCAATTTGTTATTTTCATCTTGCACGCCATAAAAAATATTTAAAACATACCTTTATTTTTGTCATAGGTACAGAAATATAAGGCTTTGCTTTTCTTCACTGAAACAGCTGTCTTTAAAATATGATTTTGAGTAAGGAGAAGCGTTTCAGGAATGCAATTGTCATGTTACAGGAGGTATGCTTTACAAATTAAAATATTGTATTCCTTTAAAAAGATATTTTATTAATAAAAACAGAACACAAATATTATTACTAATTACCTATTTCATGCACATGAGAGGTCTGCTATAAAATCCCACTTAAAAAAACTGAACATCTGGTATCATGGTTCCTGGAGAATCACTTTTTAAGAATTATATAGCTCAGACTATCAGCCTAGAAACAACCCAAATAGGCACCAACAGTAAAATGAATAAATTTACTGGAACATAGTCATACAATGGAATACTGTACACCAGCATAAATGTGGGAGGTTCTATCACATGTTAATGTCACACATAAATCTGAGGTACATATGTTGAGTATTACAAAATGCGAGCTGCAAAAGAAAACAGTATGACTCCATGTATATGAAGTTCAAAAACATGCAAATCCAAACAACATAATGTTTAGGGATACAAATGTATGTGATAAAACTGTACGAAGAAAACCAAGAGTAAATAAGCATCTTTCTTCCATGGCCAACGGGGATATTAATAACTTCAAACATTCTATCTGAAATGCTTAGAAATATTTTACAATGTGCAAAAAGTTGTTTTCCTACGTCTAGTTCTTTTTTTGTTGGTACCCATTTCTGTTATTTGTACTTAATAGGCTGTAAGCTCCAACTGTCAATGTCTGAAGGAGCCAGGCATAGGCACAAAATCTGAGACCTCAAACAAATCTCATGTATTATTAACCTGCTTTGAATTAAGAACTATAGTTTCTCATTTCAAAAGTGTATTTTATTAAGCGAAGTATAGAACCTATAATAAAGAATTCTATGCCTGTCAGATCACACCTGCTACAGTGATCCAGGGCACCACACATTCCCACATTTGCACCATGGTGGGCCTTGGAGAGCCATGTTGTGCTGTGTAATGCCCTCCCACCCCACTCCCCGGGAAAGTTTAGGTTGACCCAAGACAGCATATTCAGGGGTTTTTTTCTGTCCCAAGAATTTGGATTGGGATGAGAGACCTGAGTCAGTCTGTGTGTGTGGCTTTTCTATAATATAAAAATTTGGGAATAAAGTAATCTTATTGCAGATGTGCATAAAAGGATAAAGATGAGACGCAGGTAAGGAGATAGAAACAATGTAAATTATCAGTTCCCATCTCTTCCTGGCTGCATTCTTGTCCTTAATTCAATGAAATATCTTTATTTATAGAAAAAAAAAAGGGAGGGCTTTTTTGGGTCTTGAACCACATTCAAATTATTTTTTATTACTCTCAAGTTATAAATATTTCAAAAATATATAATCAAACAAATCATTAAAGGAAGAATAATCAGGACAGTGAAAAACATTTTATATGAAGTGAGAAAGGGGTTATTAAGTGCTTTCAAAAGTATGAAAGCCATGAAGTAGACAAATTACTAGATTTGTGAATGGACTCAAAGGTAGAATTAGGACTAGTGAGGGTAGAAAGCACAGAGATTTTGTTCAGTGCATGGAAGAACTCTCTGATACTGTAATGAAATAACATTCTGACCATTGGAAGCATTCAAACATGGACAATCGCTTAGTGGGGTTGTTGTCAAGGAGAACCTAGCAAAATATTGATGATTCCACTAAGCAATCTAAGTTTAAATGCAACACTATGATTCTTTCTACTGGTCTTCACAACATAAGTGTGAGCATATCTATACAAATCCATTTTAAGAATAATCAAATTGAGTTATAAATATGTCAGGTTATTTGTTGAGGGCAAAGTTGTGTTAGCTCTAGAATGGAGGTTAATTTAAGAGTCCAAGAATCTATGCCTTAGAAAACATCCTTTAAACCTATGCATTGTTGAAAAGTAATTCTCCCCAGAAGATCCAACATGCCCTTAATAACCTCCTATAGTTACTAAATACATATAAGATGACTATAAAGCAATTAACATGCAAAAGCCCTAAACAGAAACCAGTCTCTTTAGAGGTTATAAAACCTCAGATGCAGGCATGATTGTTCCTTCTCTTACCTGGATGTTGAGATGTAACTTCTTTAGGCGTTTTACCAGTGTTTCCTTATTGCATGGCACAAAAGCTTCAAGATGGGAGTAGACACCACTACGAATGACAGGGACTAGTTCCTGTAGCTGTAACTCAATGCTACCCAAAACAACAAATAAATAGTACAGTATTTCTTTTAGGTAGCAACACACAAGCAAGGAGGCAAAGGCAGTGATTCTTTTCTCATTTTATCTTTCCACAATCTCCCAGCCAGTATTTTTAAGGTGAAAAAAAAAAAGACCCACCAATAAATAATAATGCTATAGAAAATTTCAATGAGTCTAGTCTAAGAGTGAAATTTATATAATCACAAACAAAAAATTTAATTTTTTGATGATGGGGCAAAGTCTACATTTCTGGATAAAGCATATGAACTCTAACCAAAAGATCACTTCCTTAAAGGGATATCATATTCCCCCCGACCCCAACCTTGCAACTGCTATACTAGATAGTCACATAGTCTTAGTGAGTTACTTTTTTCTTTAGAGAAGTTTGAAAAAATCATAGATTCAGAAGAGGTAAAGCCTTTCTGCCTACATTAGTTTTATCCATCATTCTCTTATTATGTCTGCAATGCACAAACTAGATATTAACTATATGCTCAATTTATTCTCACTCTGTTAATCCTAATCCCTGTTTCCACTCAAAAATTAGGTTTTTAAAGAGCATAAAAGTTGTTAAAACATTATCATTTAGCCTAATAGATTTTTTTTAAAAAAAGAAAAGAGTTTGTAACAGCCACCATGTTCTCAGCAGGACAAGCCTATTAATAAAGAATT